CCCCCATCCAATGTGGAGGAAGGTTACCTCCACATTTCTCCGCGCTATGCGCAGCAGAGTTTGGACATTTTGGAGTTTAGTCCGTGACTAAAACGGACACAAAGACTGGACCCCCCCGCAGCAGTAGAAATCCCCCCCTCCCTCTTTAGCTTCACTAGTTGAAGCGTTTATTTCTGGCCCATCAGCAGCAGCAGATAAAAACACCTCATCTGTTTGTGTTTTGACGCAAACAGCTAAAGTTTGACTTGAGAATCGGAATAAAGAAGTTTTTACGCACAGCGGCGCTCTGCGGCGCTCTGCCTGTCTGTGTTCACTTTTATCTCCGCGGCCACATTTCCAGCTGAAAATCCGCCTCATTGTTCAGAAAAAAAAAACATTTCAGGCCCGCAAAGTCTCCCAAACTGCCTGCTCTCCATTCCTGCCCCAACTGACCTGGAATTATGGCCAAAAACACACAACAGTCCTCACATTTTAAACGTTTTTCTATATAAATATTGGGATTAAATCATATTTGGAAATTAAACAGAATTTTTTTTTAGATGCATTTTTAGAGAAGCGCAAACTGCGCTGCGTTTATCCGCAGAATTTACCCGCATGGAGCCGCGCTGGTTCTGAGCGGCCCCGCAATGTTCCTACAGCCCGGATCAGGCAACTCAGCATACTGCCCCCCCCCCCCCCCCAACCTGAGCGAGGATGAAATCAACATTTTAATAAACTGTTTTAAAGGAGCGGATAAGATTTAAAAATTAAAAATAAATATAATAAATAGAGAAATTAGATGGATTAATTTTGAGTCCTTTCATATAAAATCCTCCCTTTAATTGATTTTGATGCATTTTTCTCCCCGCGCGGTCATTGCGCATCGATCAGTGCGCATTTCGCTCCACTTACTTGGTGTTGGTGGTGTTCCAGTAGATGGACTCCAGGATGAGCGGCCGACACAAGTCCAGCTCCAAGGCGAGGAAGAAAACTCCTAAATAATATCTCCACATCGAGTCCCCCATGGTGTCCGCGCGCCTCCGGGCTGCGCCGCCGTGTATGTCCACGCACAAAAAAATAAAAAAAGCAAGAGCAGAACCAGGGGGAAAGGGGTGGGGGGGAGGTGGGTGAGGAGAAAAATCTTCAGATTATATCCCGATCCAGGTCATAGGGAGCCAAACATCAGAGCATCTCCAGCAGAGAGGGACCTGCTCCAAGGCGCACGGCGGCTCTTCGCTCAGGGCGCAGCGCCTCAGTATTCCGCCCGCTTCAAGCCGCAAGCATCCATCCTTCAGAGAGGAGCAGACAAATATAAATCCCTCTGCGCGTAAAGAGCCAACATCCAAAGCCAGCAGGGCCGGAGAGGCAGAGATATTCCGCTTTCAGCTGGAGGTGGAAGGAGTGAGGGTGACAGCAGCGCAAAAATGGAACAATGAGGTCGGATGGTCAGAATGAACAAAATGAGCAGATGTGTGGATGAGAGATGCTGGGATGGAGCTTCTCATACTAAGCAGGTCCTCTTCCCCCGATGAAAGAAAAAACACAGAAGAAGCAAACAAATGAAAAACTCCAAGAAGAGGGGAGAAGAGTCCCGCAGATCCGGTCCTCCCGCACAGTAACGCACGCAGGGCAGGGAGGGTGACGCCTGAGCGGCTGCAGCTCTCTGACCAGGCTGGGAAGTAACTGAGAGACACGCAGACTGGGAATATTTGCTGGAGCTGCTCCCGACCTGGCTCCGCCCCCCTCAACGCTGATTGGCCGCTCGGCGGGAGAACTTAAGAAGAGGGAAGCTGTCAATCAAAGGAGGCAACCGGTTCAGCGGGGTGAGAAATTACAGCAGAGCTCTGCTAATGTCAACAGGCTGCTGCTGAATTACACTGTAAATCATCCTGAGGACTCAAATAACGCAACACATGCAGCTATAATTATTAAAACAAACAATTATAATAATAATAATAATAATAATAATGATAATAATAATTATAATAATAAAAGGAAAGTGGAAATCACACCTTTGCAGGTGAATCAAGCAGAAAAGCTTCAGCTTGCATCAAACCTTCAGACTGATTTGGTGAAAAAGCAGAAAAGCTTCCAGATCTCTGAACCTGCAGCTCCTCTGCAGCTGCGGCTCATTTACAGGCCAAGAGCGCCCACTAGCGGACAAATTTATTACCAGTAAAACCAGGGACTGAAAGATATGAACATCTGCAGCGATTAAAGGACATAATTCTGCATTAAAATTAATATTTTTCAAAGCTGACAATTTTTTAAAGTCGATTTGGATTCAATCAATAAAACTTCTTTACATGATTCCACAGATTTTAGAAGAATTGATGAGTTTTTAATCCAAGGAGGAAGTTTTTTTGTTCGATTTTTTCACAGAATAATTAAAATTTCTTTCTTTCTTTCT